TTCAAGAGGAGGCTCTGTGGAGGATTCACTGGAACTTACAGTTGCTTTTTATTGCCAGTTTATTTAATTTATATCAGTTGGTTTTCAGTCATGCTGAACTGTTGTTTTACCACAAGGCATTGCAGGACAGTTGGGCTCTATTAAGCAGCTGCCTCCATTGTCAACATCTAGCTTTTTCCTAGTTTTTGGTTGTACCACCGGATGGCGCCACATCTGTCGGCTCATTGCACCTGGTGCTGGGATTCTAATTAGGCTCAAAAAAGGACAATAAAAACACAGTTTTAGGTAAGTCACTTGGTGCACATAACCTTATTTTATTAAGATCAAATGTTTTTTATTCTTTTTTGTACAGACATATGATTTGACCTTCAGCAACAAAATACGGATGGGATCCTATGTTTCAGCTAAAACACTTTTTACACATTTGCTTCTACTTTATGACATAATATGCCTTCACTGGCTCTGGGGGTGGGGGGGTGTGCATACTAATTGCTTTAACAAATAGAAAATAAATCATTTTCAAAATGCTGCTGATCATTTTTGACACTGAAGACGAGAAGCACTCTTTCTTTAAATGTATTTTTTTCTATTTTAAAACCATGTTTTTTCTTTTTTCTATTTTTTTATGTCTGTTTTTAAAAGGAAACTCAAGTGACCAAAAGATGAGCATCAAACAACAGATGGAGGGGGCGTCACTACCCGATCCATACTGCTCATGCTCGAACAGAATAATAAGATCCTAGTCACTGAAAACGATGTAATAACGGTCCTGAAAATACTTATTTATATACTTAAAACACTAAAGAAGGCTAAACTACATCATATAGAAAATATTGAAGACTTTTCTGGAAGAAATTGATACTCTGAAAGCAGTCACAGTAACATTCGAAAGGCTATTTATGCGTTTTTTTATGTATTGCTTCTTTTTTTCGTTTTTACAATATGCAATATTTACACAAATAAAAAATTATTTCAAAAGGAACCCCCCGCCCCCGAAAAAGAATAAAAAACAATGAAAAATGAAGTACTGGCTACCCTGGAAGCTGTTCAGGCATTTGCGGAACAGGGCGTGCTCCCAAGACGGATCGGGTAGTGACAGGGGGATCTGCAGAAGCGTTCTTTGGTGCATCTAGGATCCAATAGTTTTTGCTGAATAAGTTCTCCAGCTCTGCAAGAGCTTGATGCATGGGGTGGGAGATATCATCCAACACTGATGTCATTTACCTTACAGTGGGTCTGTCTCCCACCTCCTGCACACTTTCAGGGGACAGAGCATGGCTTCCTAATGAGCTTATCCAACTGCTTCCTCTCTGCTGCAAATAAGCTGCTCCAACATGCCACGCCATAAACGGGGGCTGAAGCCACCAGAGTAAAGAGTCTTCAGGAGTGTTAACTCTGTTCTGTATGTATGTTATATTGCAAAATACACTTTGATGCTTTGAGAAACACAGATTTCTTCATTTTTATCCTTTTGTTGATATTTTTTCAGATTGATGTCATGATGTCAGACAGATTATAATAACCTAATTAGTGGCTTTATAAGGCTTATGTAGTAATGAAACCATAAGCATGGCTGGTTAAACAAGTAAATATGGCTGATCACAGTTAATTCCTTTAGTTTCAGTCATCTTTTCATAGAGAGAATAATTGGGATTGATTTATTTTCTAATAAACACAATTATAATTTCAAAACAACCTTTTTATTTGAATTGTAGCTCATATTGAGTTTTGTTTGATGATCTGAAATTTCTTAGAATCTACAGAGAAAAACTGGGTGAATTTATAGGCGAGTAAATACAACAGCTATGTTATTGTTTACTGCCATGAAGATAAAAATCCACAAAGTCAAGACATTTTTTATTATTTATTATTGAAAAAGCTACAAAAATTATAAATAAATATTTAAAAAAAATTTAAAATAAAATTTAAAAAATTCATTAAATTATTCTTTTTTAAATTAAGTAAGGAATCTGCTTTCCAATCCCTGATCAGTCACAACTAATAATTCCGAACCGCCGCCATGTTTGTTTTCTTTTCCCTGCTAATTTGGCAGCACGCGCCGTCTCGGTATCTTAGCAACAGTCGCCCAGGAGCTAAGGAGGAAATCTGAACAGTGCGGCCTCAACTCAGAGGACCCGCTCTCTGTCCCCCACCAGCTGCTTTTCACGGCGGCCCGGATGTTTCTGTCGCCATTTTAGCATTCCTTTAACAAGAAATGTGGTTGAGGGGGAGCAGAGGGTCCCCTCACAGCTTCAGGTCAATCTGCGGGGGTGAATTTGTAAACTTAGAGAAGTTAAAACGCGTAGCAGCTGCGCCCCCTCTGGCCAAAATGTTTACTACAAGATCACTACTCTTAAGAGGTAGATTGAGTTTATTATCCACTTACTATAATAATGGTGAATCGAAAGCTGCTGTAGTCAACAAATTCCTCGTCCTAAATCTCCAAACTCCCTCAATTGAAAGTGGCATTCAAAGGAAATATTTTAGCTTTGCTTAGAAATCCTGCTGTGACAAAGTTCTGGGAAAAGCCTATCTGGCGTTGATTACAGGTGATCTAACCGGACGGACTGGATCGATGAGCCGCTAAGAGCCACAGCCTGGTGATGCTCTATAGTGAAATTAATTACATTTCTCTTCGCTGTGGAGGATTCAGACTCAGATACTGGCTCTATCTGTGGGAAACTGATGCTGCCGATCATCATTATTCCTGAAAAGGAGGCTCGTGTTTCTACAGTCATCCATTTTAGCCTGTCGGCTCCTCCATTGCTGACAAGATGCAGCTCTGTCACGGATGCAGATCATCCCTCTCTCTCCCTCTGGGTTTAATCAAACCGAACAAACGGGCTAATTTCATTCATCCGTGCTACTCACCCCGTGTCCGGGCCATCTATGGTCCCGCTGTTATTCCCTCCGTCCCCAGCGAGACTTGTGAAAAGGAGACACGATTCCAAGCCTTGTGGGCGGGACACGATGAGAATGTCACCGTCTGGAAATGAGGCAGACCCTCTCAGGTCTACATCTTTCCCTTCGAAGAGAGGCTCCTAGTCACACAGCTGTAAGGAAGAGGATTAGGGCCACTGCGGAAATAAAAAAGTTAAATGATTTTTAAATATTATTTCAGTTTAATGTGGGACAAAAAAGTCATAATTCTGAGATATAAGTCATAATTCTGAATAATATCTCAGAATTATGACTTTTTTCTCAGAATTATGACTTTTTTCTTAGAATTCTGATTTTAATCTCAGAATTATGACTATAATCTCAGAATTCTGACTTTTTTCTCAGGATTCTGACTTTAATCTCAGAATTCTGACATTAATCTTAGAATTATGACTTTAATCTCAGAATTCTGAGAAAATGACGTAATTAGACGACATTTTTTACATGCCTGAGGGGTCCCCAGTGATGCTATTTCATTAATGGAAGAGCAGAGGGGGATTAAAACAAGAGAACTAATCTCTAAAATAGACATGTCTAGTCAGAATTCTGAGATTCTGAGAAAAAGTCAGAATTCTAAGATTAAAGTCAGATTTCTGACTTTTTTCCCATATCAAAATGAAATAAAATGTAAACATCGGTTAACTTTTGGTTTGTTTCTTTCAGTGGCCCTAATCCTCTTCCATAGAGCTGAGGGGCTTCAGAATGGGATTTATTGTTGCAAGCAAAGAGCACAAGCTTAAGGGAAAAAAAAAAAAAATGTGCACATTAAACCTTAAAAAATACATTCAGTAATTATAGGATTTCAAAAAAGTTTTATTCAAAAAAACATTTTGTAAGTAACTTTTATTTATACAGATTGATTAGTTTTCAAATTTTATTTATTCAAAAAGTTGTTTTACAGGTTTTAAATTTTTAAATTGAAATTTTACAGATTTTATCATCATTTTATCACATATTTTATCTGTTTCAAATTCAGTTTCTAAATTTTTTATTTTAATTCTTTTCAAATTGCATTATGCTGGGGAAGGTTCTCAGTCATACAGGTCATAGTCATTCTAAAAAAAAAGAAAATAAAAAATCCACTGGACTTTGTTTCCGAGTGAAGATGATTCGCTTCCCATCCGGGAAGCTTTTTCAATTCAAAATGTCAGATATAAAGACCTAAAGTACAACTTGGCACGTGAATGTGTTTATTAATGGAAGATAGAATTTCTTAAGTACATTCCATTTACCATATAAACTATTGCCATTGCAAAACAATTTTTTCTTTAAGGAATTTATTTTCTTTCCTTTTTAAAACAACTGCTAATTAATAACAATTTAAAGCCAATATCTCCCAATTTTCTTTGTAGTAGGGCCAGAAGTTTCTTTTCCTTTTTCTTCCTGCAATTAATAAAAATTAACTTTTATTTAAAGTTAAACTGTGCTCAAGTAATTTGAATTTTTCGGTAACATTTTTGCACTTTCAATTTTACTTTTGAGTAAAATTTTACCAACAATATATTTATTGTCTTACAGAATTTAAATTCTTTGCTGCAAGTATCTCAGGGTTTATACAGGAATGAGTAACTCAAATTTAATGCTCTTACAAAGAATTTTAATGCCACCAACAAATACCCATGACTCTCATACAGTATGTACAAGGCAAAATCCTTCATCTTTACCGTCGACAGGCTGCAGCCATGTCCTAAATTCCTCGTTTTCCAGCCACTTTGGTTGAAATTTGCATTTTCCCATTCTTTAGCTTTTTCTCCGCCTTTAGCTTCTTTTCTGAACATACAGCACATGGTTTAAAAAAAAACAAAAAAAAACTGGTGTTCTCCTTTAAAGCACATTTTGACCAACAACCAATAAGCTATTTAAGGAAAAAGATGTAAATAGGAACCTTTGAAGTTGTAATTGTATCCCATAAATAAAAGAAAATATTTTTTCTATAAATTTTTTTTGTTTTGCCTAGTAGAATCTGAAAAGTGTGGCACATACACATTACTTTGTCCTTCTTAATCTGATCCTCCTAATAAAATCCATTGGATTCAGTCTCTAGCACAACCTAAAGCATTCCACCAGTGTTTTTTTAATCTCAGTATAAATCTAGCTGTTCTCCAAATGCTATGGGTTTGTTAAGGAAAATAAACAAAAACAGCAAGCATAAGTAAAGCAGGATTGGGCCAGAGGTTTCTCGTATATCTCATGTGACCATAAAAATAAAGCAAATCCTTTAGAGAAAGCCTTAAAAAAAATACATGTAATTAATCCACTCTATATTCATTTTTTTTCCTATAAAGTAGTTGAACTTATTTTTAAATATTCATCATTTTAAATGCCTTTAATTTAATCCTTGGACACTTTATTATATTGTGCATTTTACATTTTTCTAAATTAGCTAAATATTCATTCTATGAATTTTATGGGAAATTCTTATTTTATATGTTTTAGCCATATACCCCAGGGATCACAACTGGGTTTGCCTCGTGACGTCCACTTTAAGAACCTCAGGTTTTGATTAAATTATTAATCATAACGCTGCACATATTAAGTAGCTTTTTACTCTTGAAAGTTAGAGATGTATATCGACAGCATTTATATAGCTGTAATTAGCTACAGCCAATCAAAAGAAAAGGAATGACCGTTCATCACAACACGGTTTTATTTTATACTGAACCATGTGTACAGAAAAATATCCACAGTCCTACAATGATGGGAAACAGAGGCTCACCTTAGAGGAATGCTGCTGGTGGAACAAGCAGACAACTGCACTTAACTCACTGAGGAAACAACTTCATGTTTACATATCCACTTTAAGTATCATGCATGACATCAAAAATAGTTTTTTTTTTTTTTACATGATCAGTTTTCACAGCTAAACAGACATACCCGATCTCAAATGCTGCACAGAAACAGATCAAATAAAGTTTACAGAAACTCTATAAATAAAAAATGACCTTAAGGTGGAAATAAATTTAAAATAAAAATCCTTAGTTTATACAAAAAGTAGTTAAATACATGTTATTTTGAAACCTTCTGCATTGTTTATAGGAAAAGAAATGAGCTAAAGACGACATTTGCTGGTTTAACTGCTCAAAAAAAAGAAAGAAGACATGTTTCTGCACCAAGTTAGATCCTCACATTTTTTTGTTGCCTTAATCCAGCATATTATGTTATGGGGGGGGGGGAATCCAAACAGAAGTATTCGAATCTTCAGGATGTGTCAGTAATAAAGTGAAAATGTACAACTCAAGGCATCAGAGACAGACACACACAAGCAAACACTCGTCATTATCAGCAGAAAGTTGCCAAGGCTGTTTAAGGCTTTCACACTTGACTGTACGTAAACACCACTGCGACGTTTCAGCGAGACGGACGTTACTATTTAAAACAGCATAGAGCAGAAACCGAAAACACATGAATACTTGAGACTGGGGTTAGCCGTCATACTGTCACCTCTTAAAACACAAAAAAAATAAAATAAACGGCTAAAAATCCACCATCAAAACAAAACCGAGTGACTAGAAGAAAAATTTCTTCCAAAAAACAAAATTAAACGGTAAACAAAGGACTTCTTAGAGGTAGGAATGAATATTTTTCTTTTATTAAAAGCAAATCTTTGGGCCCATTGATGCGGTCTCCAAGGAGATTTCCCCAGTGGGAGTTTTAACTGATGCAAACCATCAGGAGGGAATAAAAAGTTCTTTCCCCACATTGGAAATTATTTTTATGATGCAGGTACAGCTATGATAGGTGAGTCCTGGTGCCACGTGAATTAACGAAAAACGCCATAGAAGTAACTCACAAGTATTGAAGACTAATAATAATCCAAGGATATAAGTAATAATAAGGAATTTATGAAAACCCCCAGTCGGCTTTGGTAGATGGCCGCTCACATTGAGCCTGGTTCTGCTGGAGGTTTCTTCCTGTTAAAAGGGAGTTTTTCCTCTCCACTGTCACTACAAGCATGGTTAGTGAGGGATTGCCTTCGAGTCAATGAGTCAATGCAATCAACTGAATTGAATCATTAATTAGTATTAATAATAATACTTCAAACATGACCTGGATTTAATTTCCGTATGCGAGATGAAATAAAGGAATGCCTCCTGAGTTGTTACAGCAGATATAAAGGGATCCATGACTAGTTGAACATGTTGGCCTAAATATACAATAGTTTTCCTATTAAGTTGAAAAGTTTGTGATAAAGAAAATTTCACAGTTACTTCAAAAATTATATATCCTCTAATATTTTCACCCACAGAGGTCGCCATTTTTTCACCTGTGCAATGCATGTTGGGTAAATGACGCCGTTGGTTCTTAATGGACTGGAACCTAAAGCGTAAACACAGGAAGGCTAACATTGTATTTGATCATTTAAAGTTTTAGGCCAAATTGGACAATGAAACGCTGCATTGCTGCCTCAAAGTTTCCACAAGCCGTCATACACGAGATATCTGGTGAAACAATCCAATGCAGTTGCACTGATACCGATACCAGTATCTGGCGGGGCCCCGATCCAGCACTAAAATGGTGGCATCGGTATCGGCGAGTACCAATAAATAGGGCACCGATACCATTTTGAGAGTCAAAAGTTTCTTCAACTATTGTCACCCACTCCGGGCAGGCAATAAAAAGTTCTACTGGATTTATTTTGTATTAGTCTTTTTCCTGCTTCACAAAGGTAGGCAGCAGCTTGACAAAGCCATGATGGCAATTAATTTACATCCAAGTAGTCTGCAGTTCGTCATATATACACACACATCAATTTCAAACAGATGGTATCGGTATCGGCCGATACTGCACAGCCAGGTATCGGGAATCGGCATCGGTGCTATACTATTTGTAACCGTTTACTATGTTAGTTAAAGCAAACACCATTAGCAGAGGCTAACATGAAATCAAAATCTAATCTAATAAGTCTGAGAACGTGGTTTGGTACTGATGCTAACCGCTGTTAAAGATAGAAGACTCAGTTAAGGCCAATTTATGCTTCTGACGAATAGCCTCTGCACTCGTCAAATCTGTCTCTGTGCGCGACCACGCCCCCCATGCAAAGGTTCTGCTTTGTAGTAGCACACCTTAAAAAAATCCTGACTAGGAGTCGGACGGTCGCAAACCCACGCAGACCTCAAGCGGAAGTGCGCAGACAGAAAGCAGCTGTGATTGGTCCTTGGTATGCCTTTCCGGCTGTCTGTGTAGTCATCCTTCTCGATTTGGTGCTGGGGCGCGCCATTTTTAAAAACCACAATGGACAACTACGACAAAAAGTTCATCGAGGAGGTTCAGAATATCACCACTGGTACGATGCCTCAGACAAATTATAGAACGATGCTACGGTCTTTACCGAAACAAAGTTCTCGTGACAATCCGCCGAAGTTCTCGATTATCGGTAATAATTGCGCTTTGGCAGGAAACTGCTGCCAACGGTGGAGAAGCATACCAGTAAAACTAGTTTGCAACCAGACCTAAGTGACATTTGATGTGTGCATTGCAGAAGTCTAATCTGCCCTTAAGAAACCGGAGCGCTTTGTAATATAACTCTCCATCTGGATTAGTAACGCCTAGCAGCAGCCACACAAAAAACACTTCTTGTTCCTCCGTTTGGTCCTCATCTTCACCTCTCAATTTCAACGCACTGCAGATGGTTATATGTTACTCATTGCTGTTTTGGCTAAAAGGAGCTAATGCTAAATGCATAAACCACAAGGCGACGTTCATGTGACAATATTTTTTTTTAATTAATCAAAATTAAAGAGCTCACAGTGTTTTTGCTGTATTGTATTTAAAAAAAAAATCATATTAAAGTCTTATAACTAATCGTGGATCCCTCTAAGGCTCACAGATTGGCTTCTTTGACACCACTGTAGGGAAAATGAAGTCTACATTTATTCCAGTTATTGAAACACAACATGTAAAGTACTGAGAGTGATTCCCTGCAATGCAAAAATCTTCATTTTAAAAAAGTTATTATGAACAATGAGACTTGATTACTAGATAGTGAAGGTTTGTGTAGAGCAGCGGTAGAGATGAGAAGATGCTGCCATATAATGTCAACCATCTGGAACAAATAGGAAAATGCAAAGCTGAGTGTGTGCCGGCGAAACTAAAATGTCTTTAAAAAAGGAAAGAAAATGTCCAATCCCAACTTCATAGCTTTAAAAGACGAGAAAAATAAATTATCCAAATCAGAATTTTAACTGAAGTGTAGTCGCAGTTACTATAAAAATAAGAATAGGAATAATTTGTCTGCTGTGTAACGATGGTTTCACCAAGCTAAAGGCTATGTTGAATCGGGAGATATAAACGAGGAAATAAAAAAAAAAATATTCACCCATTTGAAACCATCTTAAATATTAAAACCTGTGTGATTCAGATCTTACTTGTAACCTAGCAACACTAGTTTGGAGCATCTTCATTTTAAAATAATCCTTTTTTATCGTTTCCTGCTGGAGAAACAAAGGCTTTACATGGTGGCCTCTTCGCCGTCACTCAGCATGACTGTAGGTCTAACTGGGCATCAGTTGGTTTAAAGTTTACAAAACAGAAGAAAAATAATGTTAGTTTTATGATATATTTACAATAACATATTTTTTCTTCCATGCATTAATTTCAGAGTTGAATAACAACATCCTTGCCAAACTATGGTTGTTGGCACAGCACTTTATTTTACTTTACATCTATATTCTGAGGGTAATTCTTACAGGGGGTCATGATTTTATCTACAATGAACAGATGAGGTTGTGATGGGGCCAGTTTCTACTAAAATAGAGCTCTGGAAGTAAACAGTTCCTTTAGGTGTTCATTTATTCATCTCTGAATTTTCATAATTTCTTTCCTGGGTAAATTATAATTAATACAGAATGCATAAATAGACATTAGGTGAAACCAACTCTCTTCCAGAAAGAGCAAAATGAGATGAGCAACCGGAGAAGATGGAGAGGATGGAAAAAAAAAACAAAAAAACAAAAGTTAAGGTGATGTTTGTTTCACCAGCCTGCGTTATCCCAGGCTTCCTCTGCAGGCTTAGAAGGACTCTTCTTCGTCTTACCATCCGGATTCTCCCAGTTGTTGTCCCAGGCCTCCCAGCTCTCCTCTGTGCTGTGCTTGTTGTTGGAGGCTCCTTCGGAGCCCCAATTGTCCCAACTGTCAGAGCTCTTTTTGGCAGAGTTATCTGCCATGGTCCAGCTGTCACTGCTGGGAGATTTCTTCTCTTTTAGGGAGCTGTTGCTGCCAAAGGTTTCCCAGAAATCCCTCGACACGGGTTGGCTGGAGCTGCCCTGATAGCCCTCAGTGGCGTCCATGTTCTGGTAGCTCTCTCCTCCAGAGCTGAGCACAGAAAGAAACTAACTTTAAATTATGTTTAAAATTCCCGTTTTGAGGAGTAAAGTTGGTCATTTTATAAATCAGGAAAGATGTTGCCTCTGTTGCACAATGCAGTCTTAAAATTGATAATTACAGATGAGGAAAATGAAATTTAGTAAAAATATAACATAAAAGTGATAGAAACTATCATTACTGTCAGCATTGGGAGTAACGGTGTTAGTACCCATTTTTCATTAAAAAGTAATCTAATATAAGGTGATATTGGTATGTGAGGAGTAATTGGTAACTCTCCGTTAGGGCTGCAACTAATGATTATTTAGCAAATGGATTAATCTGTCAATTATTTTTTCGATGAGTTATCAGATAACAAAAGGTTCCTTAAAGAAGACATTATGCAAAGTTAAACCAGCTAAAACTAAAACTTTTCCACTGGAGTTCTGGATAGAGCATCTTGACAGACATAATGTTCATATATTTCTTTTTACAATCTTGGTATAATTATATATATAATTAGAATTACTGTCAGCTAAAGGAAGGTTTTAGAGTCTCTGCAACGATTTTGTAAATCGATTAAGAATCGGATAGGAAAAGGTTCCTTAAAGAAAACATTTTTTTCCTAAATTAAACCAGGTGAAACTAAAACATTTCCACTTGAGGAACTCTGGATAGAGCAGATTCACAGAAAAAAATGTTTTTTTTATTTTTATTTTAATGCAAAATTTTTACATTTTTTTTTTTTACAAATTTGGAACAATTGCTGCACAAGGTAGGTTGCTCATTCAGCAAAAAGCATGTTTTAGAGTCTACACTCCAGTAAACGATTAATCGATTACTAAATTAGTTGACAATTATGTCAATAATCGATTAATCTGATTAATTTTTTAGCCTTATCACAGCTACACATACTTTATGATTAAAGTATAGGCTTAGTATTGCAATACTTTAAAACGTTAAAAGGATAACAGTCAGTCAAAAAAAAATATTGAACTGAACCGAACTGCGATAAGGACAAACAACTCGACTGAGTCTAAGCAGCTCGGTGTAACTGTCAGATTAGAAATATGGGAGATAGAAAGACGATTATTTCAGTAATAGATTAATTATTTCAGCCCTACTTTCCATCCAAAATTACTACGACTCAATCAAGGAAACTTTTTATGAGCCAAATCCCTCTGGGTCAGAGAAAGATTTTTACTAAGGCTGAACTATTTTAGCAAAAATCTAAATTGTGACTACTTTAGAATATAGTGGTGGAACGGTTTACAAAATTCACGGTTCGGTTCACGGTTTCGTGGTCACGGTTTTCGGTTCGGTTCGGTATATGTTGATTGTTACAACGAAATCCCATAAAAATTCATGAAATTAATGAAAAAATCCCCAAAAATTAATGAATTTTCATTCTTTTTAATGATCCGCAGAAACCCCGGATCATTTCCGC